CACACTGCTAGATTTAAAATGGATAACCATGGTGGGAATGTAAATTGATACAGCCACTATGGAGAACAGTATGTAGGTTCCTTAAAAAACTAAAAATAGAACTACCATATGACCCAGTAATCCCACTACTGGGCATATACCCAGAGAAAACCATAATTCAAAAAGAGTCATGCACCACCATGTTTATTGCAGCTCTATTTACAATACCCAGACATGGAAGCAACCTGAGTGTCCATCGACAGATGAATGGATAAAGATGTGGCACATATACACAATGGAATATTACTCAGCCATAAAAGGAAATGAAATTGAGTTATTTGTAGTGAGGTGGATGGACCTAGAGTCTGTCATACAGAGTGAAGTTAAGTCAGAAAGAGGAAAACAAATACTGTATGCTAACACATATATATGGAATCTAAAAAAAAGAAAAAGAAAAAGGTCATAAAGAACCTAGGGGCAAGACGGGAATAAAGACACAGACCTACTAGAGAATGGACTTGAGGATACGGGGAGGGGGAAGGGTAAGATGGGACAAAGTGAGAGGGGCATGGACATATATACACTACCAAATGTAAAATAGCTAGCTAGTGGGAAGCAACCACATAGCACAGGGAGATCAGCTCGGTGCTTTGTGACCACCTAGAGGGGTGGGATAGGGAGGGTGAGAGGGAGACGCAAGAGGGAGGGGATATGGGGATATATGTATATGTATAGCTGATTTACTTTGTTATAAAGCAGAAACTACACACCACTGTAAAGCAATTATACTCCAATAAAGATGTTTAAAAAAATAAAATAAAATGGATAACCAACAAGGACCTACTGTATAGCACAGGGAACTCTGTTCAATGTTATGTAACAACCTAATTGGGAAAAGAACTTGAAAATGGATACATGTATATGTGTAACTGAATCACTTTGCTGTACACCTGAAACTAACACAACACTATTAATCACCTATACTCCAATTTAAAATAGAAAGTTTAAAAAAAAAAAAAAAGGCATGTATATAGAGGGACCAACCCTCCCAGTTTGTCCGACTCTCCCAGTTTTAGCACTAAAACTTCTGTGTCCCAAGAAACTTCACAGTCCTAGGCAAACTGAGAGGGTTGGTTTTGTTTCTAGAATGCTACCTTTTGTGTAAGAATGAAGCGGGCGGGGCGGGGGGGGGAATGAGAAAACACATTTATCATTACTTCACCAAAAGAAACACAGAAGATAAACACCAAAAAACAGTGGAGTTGGATACTTAGTTGGCAGGGTGGGGAATGGGGCAGAAGCGGTAAGAGTGTCACTTCTCTAAGTATACTTTTTGGTATAGTTCTGATGTTTAGAAGCATGTTAATGTTCTATGTATTTTTAAATGAATAAAATTAAATTTATAAGGACGGGAAGTGTGTGGGGATGGGCGGGGGGAAGGAACCTTAAACCTGGAAGAAAACTGAAACAAATGAACCCAATTTATTTCAAATAAATAACAATCACAGTGAAGGACAAAAAAGAATTAATCCAAGTAATTCATGAACACAAAATGTAATTACACATTCTTAGTCTTGGGCAGGGTACAGACAGGGAAAGAACTGCAAACAGTCCTGTAGTCTTTTAAGTGTGTTTTTAATAGAGATAGGGCAAAAGAAATTCTAAGACTGTTTCAGATGTATTGTAGGACTGAACAAGTGAATGAATTGATTTTTCAGGGAGCCAGGATTCTGAGGAAGGGATACAGAAACACGGAATGGGGAAAGCAAGAAAGAACCCTATGAGGATGGACTGCAATTGGAGGTACTAGTGTGAACTCATGATTTCTGAAATCAAACATCATGCGCCTATGACATGTAAAATGTATGTGTACATGCATATCCGTGTGTATATGTCTGTATATGCACATTTTCTAGTTCTGTCTGAATAGGCCTAGAAGCAAGACGACACCCAGTAGCAATGACACGTAGTAGCAATGAGCCTAAACAGCAGCCAGCAGATCTATGTATCTGTTATCATTCCCCAGAGTTCCTTGGAGAAACTGCTGATTCCAGATCCTGGGACATATTTAAGATAATGTCCTTTAAAAAAAAAAAGGTAGTGGAAGCCACAAGGACATAGAAACAAGATTGAAATGGAAGGTACTCCTAACTGGTCAAATCTCAGACCATTTTAAGTACCAAAGTAAGTAATGAATTATAAGCCATTGAATAAAATAGAAAACCAGGAGTCCAAAACAACAGTAACTATAAAAATTCATGTGGACAGATATGGACTAATGAAATGGAAGGATGGGAGAGAAAGGAGGGTTCAGGCTTACAGAGAATGCTGTGTCAACTGGTACATAAGAAGAAATGCTGGAGTTGGAAAATCATAATTTTGTAACTGTCGAAGAATGAATAAGCAAGAATCATCAATGGATGCTAAATATTGGGGGGGAAATGTTGATGTTAAGCATGGACTTAAAAAGAGCCTTCCACAGATTGCTTATCAGGTGTAAGGTAAAAAATAGTCACTAGGGCTTCCCTGGTGGCACAGTGGTTGAGAGTCCGCCTGCCGATGCAGGGGACGCGGGTTCGTGCCCCGGTCTGGGAAGATCCCACGTGCCGCTGAGCGGCTGGGCCCGTGAGCCATGGCCGCTGAGCCTGCGCGTCCGGAGCCTGTGCTCCGCAATGGGAGAGGCCACAGCAGTGAGAGGCCCGCGTACGGCAAAAAAAAAAAAAAAGTCACTATACATTGGAGAAACTGAACGACACCTTGACCAGCTGACCAAAATTAACAGTGAGGAGAAGATGGGACACCGTGTAGTTATTCTGACCAAGAATGCATAGCCTGAATCTAATCATGAGGAAACCCAAAATGAGGAACGTTCTATTATTAAAGGGAGGATAGGGGAGGAGACAGAAGACTGTATTTTTCAAAAACAGCTCAACACCATAAAAGACAAAGGCAGCCATGGAAATGACCCAGGGTAAAGGAGATTAAGGGAAGGTAAGCAAATCAACAAATGATAAAAAAATGGTAAAATCTTAACAATAGGTCAATCTGAATAAAAGATGTGTTGATGTTCTTTGCACTATTCTTACTCTTGCCAATATCTGGTAAATTTGAAATCCCTTGAAATTATTTCCATATAAAAAGTTAGAAAAACAATTAGGAAGGCCTGACATTGGGTTACTAACCTCATGTTTTGCCAAACAAGGTTATTACAATGCAATCATGAAAGAACCCCATACTACCACCATCTACAATTATATCACTTTGTTTTAAAAAAGTGTGAGGAGAGGGCATATTAAACATCCCAAGCATAGCAATGATCTTAAATAAAAGAATGGTCCTTTAAAATGAATAAATTTAGATTTATGAAAAAGACTTATCACATTATCCTAATTCTTCTCATTTCCCCGTGGACCAGGGACAGCTATGTCAGCTTGGTGTTAGGGAATTAGTATTCTAAATGGTGCATTTTCCACAATGGATGAAGTACAGTTCAGTGGAAAGAGCATGGAGTCTGGAGACAAATGTTGAATTCAAATCCTGGCTCCAGCAATTACCAGCTTTGTAACCTAAGCTCTCTTAGCCAGTTTCCTCAATTGTAAGGCAGATGGCTAAATCACAGAGTGTTAAGAGAATTAAATTAATGTATCTAGAATAATGCTTGACACAGAGGTGCTCAACAAACGTCTCCCCTCTTCCTTTGCTTGGTAGCCACCTTTCTGTTCTCTGGAGTTGTATATGACTGGGGCCACACTGGTCCTTTCCTCCTTGACCCAAAAACACAAACCCACTAGGATCATGTAAGAAACTGAATTATCCTGAGAATAAACCTCCTATTTGGAGGTAAATTTCATGAAAATAGAAGCCAGGTATATTGCATAGTAGAATAAAAAGACACAAGACTTATAAAAACAGATGAATTGGGGCATGGCTGGTAACTGATGAGGTCTCTTAAGGAGGTAAAGACAAGAGGAAGAAAGACAGTACTTGTTTATCTTAGAAAGGTCTGCTGCTCAAAAAAGAGAAAAACTGTAAATTTTTTTCTTCATATATTCACAAGTCTATTTTGCAAATAACTATCCTTCTACTTCCAAGAGTGAAAAATAGCTTATGCCAAAAACAAACAGTATTAAAATCGCTAATTCTTTGTGTTTTACTAGCTATGTATCTCTGAAGAAAAAAAAAATCAATTCAGTAAAATGTCCATAAATTATGAGATTTCATCCAATTGTCTATTGTTTTTTTGCTTCCCTCAACATATTTCCTGTTTACATCTAACAGGACGATTTCCTTTTATGTTGCTAATGAGAGTAATTCTTTAAAAGTCTGTTTTTTAAAATGGGAGAAAGAATTTTAAAAAATAACTAAATTGCATCATAGCAAAAAAATTTATATTGCCAACAGAAATTTAGTTTAACATTTAAAATCTTTATAAAAGATAAATTCTGATTTTTCCCTTTATTTTATCATAATTGAAAAATGAAATCACTTAACATGAATACTTGATACATGATTTCCTTAAAACTTCTCTATGGTAAAACAAAACTCTACATATTTCAAGAGTGTATATAATATTATTAACACTCATGACAATTTCAAACCAACTAGCATTGGTATAGTTTCAACTTACTATTAGTTGTGGCAATTTATGGAAAAAAGGCGCAAAGCTTATTAGGGCCCAGCAAACCAGAAATACTTAATCTTACACTGTGGAGTTCAAAAGTGACAGTACAGTGTGAAGACACTATAAACTGCCATCTCCTTCTCATAAGTCTCTTAAAACAAAGGCTGGAAAAATACTCAGTACCTCAAATATAATAACTAACAAAAATATTTCCATTAACTACTTTTTGTCCAGAGTGATTAAGGACAAAAAAAATAGGAATTCTTGTTGCTTTATCTGAAAAACTGCTAATAAGCTCCCGTTATAAGTTCTTTACACATTACAGCAAGTCGTCTTGGTCTTCTGATCATATATATATTCACATATATATATGCATTTTTTCAAGTAAAGAAATGTTTAACAGATGTAAACTATTTATTGAATATTTGCCACCAAATATTGTTAAATACATTATCTTGCAGCATATCGCTTTCAAGTTAAAATGTCAGAAACAAACACCAATATTTACAATTCTTTTAAGGAATGTTATATAATGACACATTAAGGCGTAAATTCTTTTGGCTTATAATTCTTAAAAGAATGATAATAGCAAAAGTGATGCAAAATCTTCAGTGTGAGATTATGATTAAGCTACATTTTACAAAAATATGGTGTAAGATGGCAATAATCCCATTCAACATCCTGGATTATTAGATCCCTTCAGGAGGGACTGATAATTTATACAGTCAAACTTTTAAATTTACAGATAAAGGCAGTCCAATACTGCCACTGAGAAGTACATCTCTTAACATATACAACTTTCAGGCCACAGTTTTGAAGGTCTGAAGTATCAAGTTGGTTTGATGAATTAGTCGGTTGGCACTTATGAACACATTTATTGCCCTGTTTCAAAAAAAAAAAAAAAGAACAATTAATTTTATCCCCCAAAAAATCATCCTTTAAAAATATTTTATACTTAAAATGCCCTACTAGCAGTAGCAATAAAATCAATTTAGGGGAAAAAAAAAAAAAAAAAAAAAAAGGCAAGTTAGTACTGAATATCACAAATTTTATCCCAGCTTGGAAGGGTCCTGCATCATTTGAAACTATCTAGGAATTACTGCCCCCTAGTGGTTCTGGCTGGCAATAAGGTGTTGGTGGGCTGCTGGTGGCACCTCAACAACCAGAGTTCACTTATAGGTCAAAAAAATAACTGGCCAAAGAAGAGGATTCAAACATAGTCTCCAGCTGGTTTCACAGAAGTTACCAGAACAACATCTGCTAAAACATTATACTCAGCCTCAAAATCTGTATATCAATGGGCATGATAAATACTTAAGAAAAAGCTCATTACTTTGAATCTGATTCATCCCAATCTCTCTTACCTTCTTTCAAAAAAAAAAAAAACTGAGAATTTTACTTTTAGAATATACTTTTAAAAGAAAATAATCATATGGTTTCAATATTTATGAGTCCACAATATATAAAAATATGTTCTTAAAAAATTACTTCATGCTGCACCGTATTTCCTATCAGTCCATTTTCATATGACCTGGAGCACAGAGGTGACGCCCTAGTCCCCTTGCGTGGCCTTATCAGTTTCTCAGTAGCAAAGCTAAGCTTGTACAGTTGTCCCTTGGTATCCAAGAAGGACTGGTTCCAGGACCCCCCTCAGGTACCAACATCTGTGGATGCTCAATACCCTTACATAAAATGGTGTAGTATTTGCACATAACCTATGCACATCCTCCAGTACACTTTAAATCATCTCTAGATTCTAACCCGTAATACCTAATACAATGTAAACGTAATGTAAATAGCTGTGAATACAATATAAATGCTATGGAACTTTCTGGAATTTTTTTCCCCAAATATTTTCAATCCACAATTGGTTGAATCCAGGGATGTGGAACCTGCAGATACTAAGGGCTGACTGTATCTTCATCCTAAACATTCCTCAAAAAAGGGGGACTAGGAAGAATTAGATGAATCAATGCAAATTCATCCTCCTACTGAAAAATGGCTCAAAGATCAGGCTCTATTAATAATTTTCAATTTTGAGGAAACAGGGACAAGACTTATGGCACATTATTCATACGCAAGTAATGGTAATTTAAACAAGCTGCTGAATGGAGAAAAAGTAGTAGAGAGCTTGAATAATCCATATGCCTGTTTAAACTGTTAAAAATACCTATGGCACCAAGGCACCAGGATTTTTAAAAACTGAACCCAAGTGATTCTAACGTACAAACAGGAATGAGAGTGAATAATTTCAGATTAATGAAAATTATGTTCCAAATCCATGATAGTTCTCAATCAGTATCATAAATAATTTTTCTTAATGCAAATTATTCTTTTAATGTGTTTTTTGGTTATTTGGGCTTAGCAGGGGAGACCAAGGAAAAATAGACGTAAGTTTATTTTCAGAACACACCTGGCTAGCTTATTAAACTAAGTCAACAAGGTACATTTCCCCTAGACAACCTGAATAGTAGAATGAAACAACACAAAACCATTAATAATATTTAGCTCAATATCTTTAATTTAGAATAAAATGTAAATATTTCAACCTGTTTGAACTATTTAAAATAACTATGAAAATCAATATACCATTCTAATGTATTTTTATTATTTTTTAATATTACTACAGTAATATTGTAATAGTTTGACATGGATATTGGGATCTTAAAATGTCAATGGTGGGATAAGATGTTAGAGGTCCCTGCCAATTACAGCTGAAATAATCACCATTTATTCTTCTGCTTCAAGCACTGTAGGAAATTGGTCTTGTCCACAAAACTCTACTTGAGGTACAAAGAATTCTCTGTAAGGTATGAGGCTGCAGAAGACATAGCCTCTGCATCAGTTTATACATTATATGTACATGTGTATTATACATAAATCACGTAAGATTACTTGGCTTTCTAGAATGTTCTACAGCCAAGTGTATGTAAATTTTAAAATAATGTCCTATTTACCTTTTTAGTATACTTCCTGTCTTATAGAAAGCCCTCCCTATTCCAGGACAGTGGATCACAACCGTTTACAGCATTTTAAAAACACGTGAAGCACTTTTACTAAAACACACCTGAACCCTGACCCCACTCCAAGCCAATGGAGTCAGAATCTCTGAAGGTAGGGCCAAGGCACTGGGATTTTAAAACACTGAACCCAAGTGACTGTAATGTGCAAACAGGATTGAGAACCACTGTTTTAACAATAGTGCAGCAGTTCTTTACAGTCCTGCAGGATCCATGACATCTGGAAATTTCTCAGAAATGTAAATTCTTGGGCCCACCCGAGACCTACAGAATCAGAAACTCTGGGTGGGACCCAAAAGCAATCTGTCTTTAACAAGCCCTCCTCCAGGTGATTCTGAGGCTATTAAAGTTTGAGAATCACTGCTTCAGGGGTTGGTAAAGTAGGCCAGTAAGCCAAATCTCACTCACTGTATGGTCTGCGAGCTAGGAATACTTTTACATTTGAAACAGTAAAATTTTTTTTAAAAATCAAAATATTATGATGTGACAGCTGAATTATATAATTCAGTGTCTGTAATTAAGGTTTTGTTAGAACACAGCCACAAAAGTACCACTTGTTTCCACACTGTCTACAGCTGCTTCTGCACTACAAAAGCAGAGGTGAAGTGCTGCAGCTGCAACAAGCCCACCAAGTCAAAATATCTGCCATCTGGCCCTTTTCAGAAAAAGTCTGCAACTCCTGCTCCAGACTAGAGTTATGGCTGGATTATCAACCATTCCCTTTCTATTTTTAACAGTCTATCTTAGTAAGTTGGTGTAAGTATTAATAATATAGTAAAAGGGTTTAATTTATATGATTTTAGTATCATATAAAACCACATAATTTTCTAATTCTTAAAAGAAAAGGATGATAAATGACAATACTTACTTGCCATCTTTAAAATAGGTTTTCAGAGTATCACTGAAACTTTTGGAGTACTTTACAAATTCTTTCTTTTGGTGTTCAAGTGCCTGCAGACATCAAAAATAATTTTAAAAAATACTAAATAAGAAAAGAGAAGTAACACAAAAGCCAAAGTCAAAGACAGGAGATTACACAGAATACGAACATACCTTATATTACAGATGAGCATTTTTAGGAGTATTTACTTAAATATATGTAACAGCATATTTAAATGCAAGGACAAACCCAGTCATTAATGATACAAAACCATTTCCAATAATTCAACAGTCTTATTATTTAATTCAGTAAAATGACTAAGTGTAAACCAATATCTAGGGTGGCAGCTTGCAAGGCTTCTACTAAACTTACCCTGCGGTTCTGGTATTGATATTTCTTGAAGACACTGTTCACTGTATCAAGAAGTTCTTTTATTGCACTAGCTATATCCCTGTTGGGTGAGGAAAAAAGAATCTTCTTAAAATCAGTTTCACTTGAAAGAAGTCTACATTTTTTTTTAAGAATCACTGCACTGTTAACTACCATATGAACACTGCATCAAGCACAAATACTGTCTAGTTGAATGGGGGTTTTAGCCTGTACCCTCCTGTGATCCCAGCTACTCTTGCACTGCTGACAAAACACTGCACAACTAACATCAGCTTTCCCAAATCAGTAATATTTCATTCAGCATTACGCACTCAAATTTATAAGAAAATACCTCTGCCTCTCACCTTTTCCGGTTACAATTCTTCCTTTATCTGGCTCATGTAGGTGAATTCAAGCAACCATATCATCCACTTTTGCTATTTCATGAACAATTATATGAAATTTTGCTATTACACGTAACTCATTTCTGTACTTAAAACACCAAATTACAGACCTGGTGTAGTTTTGAAACATAGTTTCAAACATAGTTCTGATGTTTAAAATATTTCCTCCTCAGATGTAGCTCTCCTCTCTTAAGACACATCTAATCTCTTCCAAACTTTTGCTGACACTATTTCCTTTAGAAAATATATTTAAATTTCTGGGAGACAATATCAGAATATTCTTCTACCTTAACCTTTTCAGCAATCATCCTTTGAGTATATATGTATCAGCACTTTTCTCCCCTTTCTAAAGAAAGAGAAGAAATCAATAATTCTCATCTGACTTGACTATTCTTCCTATCCATGTACCATTTTTTAAAAAGTCTTCTTATCTTTTCTCTATGCCCTTTTCAATTTCCATGTTCTAACTTCATAGTAATATTTTGGCAAACTGAACTTACTGTAATTCTGCATTCTCAAATAGCCTCTCAGTCTCTAAGGCAAACCTTCTCTTTTTCACATCCATTCTTAGCTGTTAATTGCTACAAAAACTTTTACTGTTCAAATGCAATGCAAGTGTGAAGATATGAATTAGTAAAAGACCAACCGAGACCACCCCAAACATAACCTTTTATTACCTACTTTTTAGTCATAAATCTCAGATTTCAGTTATTTCACACCTAAAACATTTCAGCTGTACTATTTAAAGAAAACCAAAAGGCTCTGTGTCCAGATTTTTGTACGTGTGTGTTTCATGGCTTATTTCTAGTAAATAAGCATATGGAAATTCTAAAAATTACAAATATACAGAATTTTGGTATAAAAAAGTATTTTAGCCTATTCTGAAGTAGTAATGATATTTTTATTAAATATTTCAATAACTATTTCCTTATTACCTCTTGTATTTCAAATACCGGCGTCAGGCTGAAACATTAAAACATTAGATATTCAAAACAGGATAATGAATTTACATAATTACATCTGTCCACTCTTTTTTGTTTTTTGGCCTCTAGTAATAACAATTTTAAGTTACATTAACTATTCCTTTATGTTTTCGAGAAAGTTGAATCCTTCTGTATTGCTGTGATGGGTGTAAGCCCCCTACCGCTTAATAAAACGGTGTCATATGACCATCCCATTATGTGAGAAAAATTAGTTTCAACAAATAAAAAATGTCAAATCTCTGAATATGGAAGATTCTTCAAACCCACAATAAGCTTATTCAAAATGGATACAACAAAGAAAATTATAGTGATCAGACAGCTGTTTATACACAACCATACCTTGTTGTGTAACTTTAATGAATACTGGGAGTCTGTATGTACTTTAAAAGAAAAGGGGAAAAAAATCTCCCCAGGTGATTCTGCTGATGAACCAGGTTTGGAAACCACTGCTTGGAAACCCAGAACCTAGAGCTAATCCTTGATCCACTATTTGCCACGGAGCTTTATAAAGACCAAAGCTGTTTATCCCTAGGCCTGGCCTTTTCTAAAACAATCTGCAGCAATTTATGTCAAATATTATGTCATCTGTATGTACATGGAACAGCATTTTCATTTATGACACTAAGGTTTGCACCAGGGAAGCTAAATTATTTTAGTAACTACCCGAGGGTTTGTTTCCTATAAGAGAAAATACCAGCACACACACACAAAATACTTCAGACGATTAAACAAAATAAAGAACTGGGGAAAACCTGAGGGTAAAATAATTAGAATGCAATTATAAGCAGTTTGGAGTTAATGGATTCTCTGACACAGGACATATAGTATGTGTAAGTAGAAAGGAATTTTGGCAACTTGCAGGTTGCTAAAGGGGTTAAGGGGGCAACTCTGGGGAACATACACGCTGAAAGAGAGGACCGCAGGCATCAGAAGAAATATAATACGTCTTATTAAAAAAATTGCATGGAATAGTAGAGCTTCTAACTGTATCAAGCAAATTTGTATAATTATGTTTATACAAACACTCTAAAGGAAGGAAATTCCTACACTGTATGTTTAGTTTGGTCTAGACTGGACACCTCTGGAAAAGCTATTTTGAGGCCAGCATCAAAACCAAACGCTGGTAAATTTTCACCTCTGAATATGCAAATGTAGATTATAAAGAGTAAACAGGGTCTTCCCTGGTGGCACAGTGGTTGAGAGTCCGCCTGCCGATGCAGGGGACACGGGTTCGTGACCTGGTCCGGGAAGATCCCACATGCCACGGAGCGGCTAGACCCGTGAGCCATGGCCGCTGAGCCCGCGCGTCTGGAGCCTGTGCTCCCCAACGGGAAAGGCCACAACAGTGAGAGGCCCGCATACCGCAAAAAAAAAAAGAGTAAACAGATAAATGCATAGCTTTCTGGACTATTAAATCACCAGTTTCCACTAGTCATCCATTAATTGGAATGTATCCTAAGAATGAATTTTATAAAATATTTGCATAAGCTCAAATGTAGTCAAACACATTCATTAATCAAAAGTACTTTAAAAATAATTTGTTTGCTGGATCATTTTTCCTAATCAACTTCATAGAGAGAGGGAAAAAAAAATCTTATTTCACAATGCTTTAGGTGCTGTGAGTGTATGCTAGGTTCTGTGCTAGGTACCATGTATATCATTTCAATTCTCACAACTATTACCCTCATCTTCACAGGCAGAAACTAGAATCACAGAAGCTAAGCAAAATTATCCAAGGTCACAAAGCAAAATGCTGGAATGGGGAGTCAAACCTAAGTCTGCTGATATATACAAAAATATATGGATATTTGTTAGCTGACAGGAATCTTTTCTCCTGTAACATTCTGTACAGTACTTGGTATAGTAGGTATTTGATCCATGCTTATTGAAAAATATTGTTAAAATATTTTGAAAGAAGAGGATATCCACCTTAAATATGAGAAAGTAAAATATTTTAAAGAAAAATAATAACTGTACAATATGTTGTGCTTGAAAGATAAACCATTTTATATTTTGGTGCAATTTTATCCACTAATTTGTCAAACAATTAACACTGCTAACAATATATATCAAAAGTTATCAATATATATCAGTGATACAAATAATTATACCTTAGCCATCCATGCTAATGCACACATGGTTGAATTTCAGCCTCAGAAACAATACATATTATCAACAAACTTTCCATGGCAAATTATCCCTCCTAAAATAGATACGAAATAAATTTTAATTGCCAATAATCTTAATTCAGTTGGCTGAGTACACTCCAGAAAACAGAAATGAAATATTACTATTGCCCCATAAATGAGAGACAAGACCCCAATTCAGCCTCTGTCAATGACTAAGGACAAGACTCTTAGGTTCTTGACCTCAAGTCCCTTTTGATCAAAATGTGGCTATTAGTAAATTGGTTTTCAAACGGTATCTCTTTAGAGCCACACTGGGTTTAGCAGAGACGTCTCCAGGACTTCCTAAGATGGAAAGAGAGTATCAAGATAGCAAGATGAGGGCTCCGGACCTACCATCTCTATCCCAGCTTCAACTACAACAACACCGTTCTGCCTCCTTCCTACTGACACCCTAGATAGGATGTCCTTTACCACACCTCTTCCAAACAGCAGAAACGTTCTTTTCTTCAATCACCAGATTAGATCAACATTATGAATCTATGATTGGGAAGCAGCAGAGAAGTCCCTGGAGTCAGTCTGCTTAGGTTCAAACCAAGTTATAGAAATGTAGCATATGATCACCAAAATAAATTAAACCTTAAATTATTTGAAAATTTTAGAACTAAGTGTTTAAACAGCTGTGTTTGAGATCACTGATAATTTACCCTTTTATGGGTCAAACGTGTTCACTTTATACCAAACTGAAAATAAAAAGCTGTATTAAAAACTGTTAAAGAAAGCTGGGGCTTTCCAATAAAGGTAAAATATTTACCTTAGGGTTTATCCCCTGTGACATGGATTTTGGCTAGTCAGTGAAGTCTTTTGTACTTTCTGATCCTCAATTAGAGGACTAAAAAGAAGAGGGTCACTCCTTGATAGCTGGGTTGGTACCTATCACCGTTATTTTCTAAAATGGGTCATACTCCTCCCTCTAACCCACTCAAAATAGGTGGCCAAATAGCTAAAATAGAATTTTGCAATGTGAATTACAAGGAATACTCTTCCCCTGAGAAGTATGCTAATATTTATTCCAAGGCAGCCTCTTTCAGTTCTTTAAAGATACAATGTATGATGCAGCTTCTTCCAGAAAAAGATCTGTGCTAAGTTCTTCCTTTCTAGCAATTTCTACTTGTGGTTTCACCAAAAGGTTGCATTGATAGTGCCACTACAGTTATTCCCGGCTTTCTCTGTTTTCCACCCATTGAGGCTGAAGAAAATTATCTGACTCTTTAGTTTGAAAATACTTATCTAGAAATTATGCTTGGAGCTTCCCCCTCATTCCTCCGCCCTCTCACCCCCGAGGAGAGTGCTCCTGGGTTGAGGCACTCGTGCCCCTGCTCGAGAATGACCCTTTTTGCTGCTGCCCATCAACCAGCCTCCTGGCCTCACACAGTTCTCAGTCTTTTTTTTTTTTTTTTTTTTTTTTGCGGTACGCGGGCCTCTCACTGTTGTGGCCTCTCCCGTTGTGGAGCACAGGCTCCGGACGCGCAGGCTCAGCGGCCATGGCTCACGGGCCCAGCCACTCCGCGGCATGTGGGATCCTCCCGAACCGGGGCATGAACCCGTGTCCCCTGCATCGGCAGGCGGACTCTCAACCACTGCGCCACCAGGGAAGCTCCTCTCAGTCGTTTTTAACCTACATCCCAAAGGCAAGGATTTTTGGAGGTTCACCATCTGGTCAACATTAGAAAGTGCTATTTATCACTAAGGGTACATACATTATTATGCTAATGACTTGTACCACTTCTGAAATAAAAACAATATTGGTATCCTTCGTTATTAATCTCTAATTCATCCAACTCCTCTCTTCACTTTAATCTGACATTTACATTTTTCCATTTCTCACGAAGTTCAAACTGCATTCCAGTTTTATGCACATTTCACTGCTTTTAAACATTCTAAAAAAATGTTAACTGTACTCAGAAGCCAAAGGCACAGTTTAGAAGTTAATAATAAAAATGCAGCAATTAAAAATTTTCAAATTTTTAGTTTCAATTTAATACTAATATCATACCAAAGTAAAACATACAGAATGAGTGGTTCCTTTGAAGTACTTAAAAAAAATAAGAACCAGACAAAAAGTTGCTTACTTGATTGTCTGCAGAAACCTCACTCTGTCATTGATCTCATCTGGGATCTTACTGAGAATTTGTTTAAGTGCTCGTGCCTTTTCGTTTAGGTCCTGGAATTCTGGCTCCGGTCGTTCAATCATATACTCTGATAAAATACATAATAAAAAAAAATCATGCAACTTGCTGTCAAATTCAAGTCTAAGAATTTCCAATGTGTTGGTCAAGGAGGTGGGGGGGGGAGGGGGGAGATAAAGGCCAGATAATTAGGGAAGACATGGTTGCAAACCAGAAGTCATTACAGTTCAACTTAGTTCTGTAATTATATTAGGGCTCCCTCCAAATAAAATATCAGAAAATGAAAGACTGAACATTTTCAATTTGGGGTAAATGGAAACCCATGAAACCTTAAAAATTAAAAAAGATAAATAAATAAATAAATAAATAAAATTAAAACGGAGGCCTAATCAAGTTTTTCAGGCCTCTCAAGCTACATTTCACAAGGAAACCTTAAAGTAAGCAACATCTGTAACAAATACAATGGCAATGGGGAATATGAGTTTAATAAAAACCTCTATACTGAATGTACTACCAGATTCATTATAGACTTGGAAACATTACAACTCTACCAACTCTTCAATATAACTCAGCCTAACAGGCTACAGATGCTCAAATCTAGAATAATGATGAGGACTTTCTCATAATTTATGGAATCAGTTAAAAACATCTACATCTACTTTTGTTCTCCCTTAATAAACATGGGAAATTATACCTCTATGTTTTTCTAAATTAGTGGGAACTGAATTTAATTCAGTTAAACTAAATTTAACTGAAACCCATTTCTAATTATTTAAAAAAGCAAAAATGTGAAAAGATGCCAAAAGGATGATTATTACATTGTTCTCTCGAATCTGTGTTTGAAAAAAAAAACGCAATACTAAAGTTTAAAAAGAAGAAACTCATTACTTTCAAACTGGTATTTGCATAAAGTCAACACAAAATAAAATAACCATTCCAAACAGCTTGTCTCTTGGTGAAACTAGAACTCATCAAACATATTAATTAGTAGGGGAAAAAAATTAAAGCATGCAGCATAAACAAATGCTTTACTTCAAGTAATTAAATCTGACAAATATAAAATAAAAATAAGAACTACATTTCTATTTTATATGGGTTTATTTTTTCCCACTTTCAAAACAGTAGCAATAACAATAAGAGGGAAGGGAGGAGAAGGGGAGGAAGTCCCTTTTATTAAATAAGAAAGATCTGGAGGAAAAGCTTTTCAACAACTGTAAGGAACTAAACAAGACTCTTTCTGATTACCTTCTACATCATCAGCTGCCATTCGAAGAAGAGACTCTGTGAAGTTGACTTCTACACTTTTTTTCTCTAAAATTTTCATAATGATGTCTTGTGTGAGTCCTGGATTTTCTTTTTCAGCCTATAAGAAAGAGAAAGCTAGTTTTGAAATATAGAAACTAAATCAGCATTTCAAACCTAAAACCTAATTGTTTAGAACCTGTTGGGACCTCCTTAAACTGATCAACTTATAAATAAGAGCAGAAATCTTTGCAAAGCAGGTGTCGTGATGGCACTCACTTATGTTTGGGTACACCTTGTGCATCCGTAACTTCTTATTACAGACATGGTCCCATTTTCCATTTCAACATAAAGTATTTAACATTTCCTACTTCTCATTTACACTCTCTTGCAATTAAACTAATAACAAACATAGAAATAAAGATTATATATACACTGGTAGTTCTTCAATTACTTTTTTCAATAGATTAAAGACACTGAAGATTGTTAGCTTTTTTAGCTATTTCGACTTGAGGATCAAGCAGTAACTCATCTCACAAATTTTTTTTTTGCAGATTCTTTACATTTAAATTAACAGAATATCAGGAAAAACAAACCAAAACAAAAAAATAACCCGTCTTTTGGAGGTTTTGTTTTGTTTTGTTTTGTTTGTGGTACGCGGGCCTCTCACTGTTGTGGCCTCTCCCGTTGCGGAGCACAGGCTCCAGACGCGCAGGCTCAGCGGCCATGGTTCACGGGCCTAGCCGCTCTGCGTCATGTGGGATCCTCCCGGAACTTCCTGGACCGGGGCACGAACCCACGTCCCCTGCATCGGCAGGTGGACTCTCAACCACTGTGCCACCAGGGAAGCCCCTTTTGGAGGTTTTATTGAAGCTATGTGATCCCTTAACTACATCCCCACACAACGATTTTCATTTCCTATTTTTGCAGCAAGAGTATTTCCTTCAGTAGCTTTCAGAACATCATTAATCCTTTTACTACCTCCTGAGCTTGTTTCACTAATGAGTTTGCATTGATTCGATGTTACTTACACTCTCTACGGTACTAAAATCTAGTCATTTCAAGATTGAGCGTAAAGAGTTCTGAGTTTACCGAAGTTAATTTTCGAGATTTTGGTTTTCCCTTGTAATTCCGTCCCATTTTATTTAAAAAAATTTTATAATCACATTCTGTTTCTTTTAGGATGCCTGCCAATTTTAATCATTATGCTGACGATTTCCTATCTTTTTTGCCCTGATATTAAATAGCAAACAGAAACACAACTTATGATCTATCAGACAGCAATCTATTTGCTTCCTGATGTGCCAATTATGTTTAACCTCTGCCTCCTCAATTCCATTCTGGTATCACTGCAGATTCAGCTTTATTTGGTTCCTATTGCTCTTCACATTATAACACCTTGCTTCTCATTAATTTCAAGTACCAAAAACTGAAAGGTTATGGAATGAAAGGAGAAAAAATATACACATTTATCTCAATCCTGGGACCATTTTAACTGCTGTCAAATGCTATACAAGAAAATCATTTTGATAGTTGATTAATAATAATAAAATATGTCCTACTGAATTCCATTTCTTTTATAACCTGTTTTGATTTTTCCTCTCATGAATATATTTAAGGAAGAATCTACTTTAATAAATAAGATTTGCCATTAAAAGCAAAGCTGTACAAATACGGCTTAAGACAGTATCAACATCATTAATCTGGTAAACTGCCACAAAATAACATATAGTATGTATACTAATTAAATAAGCCACTATTTGATAACAGTGGTTTATCTTCTCTAAGTAGCATTAAATCTACCTACATAATGAATTATCTTGGAAAGCAGGGGAGCATTCTCTATGTGCTTCCAGAGAATGCCAACAGAAAAATAATGCCTCTCTGATTAAGTTATAATAAGCTACTGAAAGAATTAAATGCTGAAAGCCTGAGAACAAAGTTTTCAATACCAAGTTCGTTTGCAGTCCCCAAATGCCAAAGCTGGAGCATTACAGAGTTCTTACAGAGGTCCCTAACTTTCTTGTTCACAGTGTTCTTAGTACCAAAAGAAATACCTAACAGTGCTGCGTATTAAGTACAAACAAATTAATGAATACGTACATGCTAACAACTTAGTAACCTTTAAAATTACATGAATTGAAAGAAAAATATTTTATTTTATTATTAAATAACCACAATCCCTAACGAGATGTGTGCACCTGTTGGGCACTGCACAATTTCTCAAATGTTGGAATTAGACCCTTCCATCCTCATTTCCTGTTGTACATTGATTTTCTTGTGATACTTGCATTCTATCAATAGCAGTGGCCAAAAGTCCAGTTTCACAAAGATACGACATCATTGAAAGGAACGTAGCCCAATCAAATATGCTGAAACTGCAAACTATTTCAAGAGTCATTCACACAGTGTCAACCTAATGTTGAGTATCACTGTGTTCCTTCAAATTTTTAAAATATCCCACGACACCACTCTGAGTTTGCTGCATGGTCCTGGAGTGCCTCGGCACATACTCTAGCATCTTAGCTATTTTTTTTAATCTTAAAAGCCTTAAATTTAATCAGTGACTCTAGTTGACAAAACAAATATATCTACCCTTAAATCAGAGACTCTATCTCTACCTTCAAGATATCCCTCTGAATACAACCTTAAACTCTGCTGTCCAACTTTTCTGAAAAATCCAAGAGTGAGAGACAACTATCCCAAAGGCAGTTAACATCCACTTTTGTGGAGCAATAATTCTCAGCACTATCAGAACCTCCCAGAGGGAAGAGGAATCAACAGCAGGATAGATATCATAAAAGACAATATTAACTAGTATTGTTTTATCTTTGGAAAAATTATTTTAATCCTTTTTCTCCAGATAACAAAACTAGATATTAAAGCTTGATAAGTATCACTGTTGTGGACCAAGAACTGGAAACATGAATATATATATATAGATATAAATATGGATATATGGCTGGGCAAGAAACATGAAACAAGGTTTTTAAAATCTTTTTCAAATAAGTTATAGTGTAAAAATTACAAAAATCTTAAACTTTTTAATGCATGTCCTCCTTTAAAGTCATTTGAAATTCTAACAAATTAAATATAGTAATTAAGAATAAATCAATGCAAAACTAATATATTTTCCTCCAAATAACTTCCACTATCCCCAATTAAGAATCAGTGCCGTGGATAAAATTACCCATGTATTAAGCCAGATCTGTAATAATCACATACTTTAAACACAGTTTGCTTTTTAACTGTACTTTAGAGTTAAAACATCAGCTTATGTATAAGGATATTATAAGAAAGAGCTTAATGAAATTCATTATTTTATCTCTTTTATGAATGTCATTGAGTATATACCATATACTACTTCAGAGAGGGTCTTCTTTATGAGGACACACAGGAGAAATTTCTCTCTGTTCCTGATATCAGAAAAGCTAAAAAACTGACTTTTGCCTTATTGACACTACAGTGTGCAACAGATCACTTTTCCTTCGGCCACAAAGATGCTTAAAACAGTCCCCATCCTGCCTCCCTAATGACCAAATATACCCTTCCAAACCACACTGATACTTAATGGAAAGAAGAAAAAAAACACTAAGGATGGTGCTGCTTCACTGATTCTCTTCATTAACCCAATGATTTGGCAGGATATATTTTAATGAAATTAGTATGTATGTGTACACAGGCACTGCATTTTAGAGTATTAAACAAATCAAAATAGCTCTAACGCAACACACACAATGTAATTTCTTCCAGTGAAATACGCAGATGTCTAATGACATTATTTGTGCTATCAGTTAAGAGTGGTATCAATAAACTAATCTTTGCCATAAAAAGAAATCAAGCTGGATGGATTTATAGTTTCAACTCCAATGAGACTCAACTGTAAACTTTTTCTAGATTTAAACATTAAAATACCTTCCTTGAAATATAACTTATTTTAGCTATTGATGGGAGCAAACACACAAAAAGTAAATAAAAATTAAGACTTTGGGTATCTTGATATGTATTTAGGATGGGATGGATTAAGTTTTATATGAAAGACTGTACCCAATATGTAGGGTAGGGTTGTCCAATAAATATAATGCAAGAAACAATGAGGAGCCTATGTAATTTTAAATTTTCTAGTAGCCACATTAAAAAGAAAAAACATGTGAAGTTATTTTAAGAGTACATTGGGGCTTCCCTGGTGGCGCAGTGGTTGAGAGTCCGCCTGCCGATGCAGGGGACTCGGGTTCGTGCCCCGGTCCAGGAAGATCCCACATGCCGCGGAGCGGCTAGGCCCGTGAGCCATGGCCATTGAGCCTGCGCATCCGGAGCCTGTGCTCCGCAACAGGAGAGGCCACAACAGTGAGAGGCCCACATACCGCAAAAAAAAAAAAAAAAAGAGTACATCCAAAATATTACCATTTCAACATGTAATCAACATAATACACTTATTACTGAGTTGTATACATTCTTTTTTTTGGTATTCACCTTCAAAATCTGGTGTGCATTTTATACCTGGAGTACAACTCAATTTGAACTCGCTGTATTTTAAGTGCTCAACAGCAACACATAGCTAGTGATTATCAATTGAACATCTCAGGTCTAGAGACAATGAAAAAATTCATTCGAGTGACTCAGCTGTATATTCTCAAAATATCCTTAATCTGACATACACATAGGTCTTATTTCCCCACTCAAAAATACTGTTTTATACTTATGTTCTATAGGTAAACAATATGAAGAAAATCTTTGAGTTATAACTTTATAAAAGTTTTAATCAGTCAAATAAAACAGAATTTAAAAATATACTCTAAAGCTAAGCAGAGAACACTCTGAAGAAGTCAGTTTCAAAAGCACGAAGTGACAAAAGCTGAATGCTAAGGAAACAGCGCCTGTTCCAGCTCACTCTTTAGAAGTGTTTTAAGCTTTAAAGAGTACACTAAAACAAGCACAAGATGACTGAAAAGATTTTCACTAAAAAACCAAACAAAACAGGTTTTCACTAAAATAATAAAGAAATAAACTGGCAATTATCACATGGTATTTAGATTTATATATAACATACTTTTTAATCATCATAATAAATTATCTGCATCTCACCTTAATGAAAGCCGCTCTCAGTGTCTGAGCTGCAGACAGATTTACTCGTTCTAGCTGCAATAAAAAATTTAAATCATTATTAACATCGATTTTCTTGGAAAAAGCACATTTTTAATATTTCATTCTGTAGTAATCACATTGATATGTTCATCGATTAACAAAAATACTTGCTAATGATTCTAAATCACCATAATTCTTCAAACAGGCAGGCAATCTAAAATTTTCATTAAAATCATGAAAAATTAAGGCATGTATATCAGTCTCTTAATTTATTCCTTTTAAAAAAATACTGTACCTTAAAGATAGATTTTAAGATAAGCACAGAATACAAAATAACATTAAGTCCCTATAGAAAGAATAAACATATTCACTTAAATTTCTGAAAACAGGGAGGGTTCAAGATTAACTCTCAGTGCTCTGTTGCAAATACACGGCAAATTATGTGTGTACTGACTATAAAAATGACCAAAACAAAGAAAATATCTATTACTTAAGATTCTTTGTATTTACTACCTTACTCTTTTAAAATTGCTTTTCAATCCCCTCAGTCAGGCATTAAACTGAGATTAATCTTTTTTATTAATTAGCAAATAGCACTGATAAAAGGTTTGACAGTTAAATTGAAGACTGTGGATCATCTGGATTTCAGAGATGCTTTTATCTGTCCTCTATTTTTTTTTTAACCAGGATTAAAAAATGGTTACCTAAAATCATGAGTCAAAAGTTCAAATGCTTTTAATTCTTATATCGAATGTGTAAGGTTTACAATTCTGAAAGATAAATGTCCTTATCAGACACTATATAAGTTGCTTTTCAGTGAGCTGAAGGCATGCAATTTCATTAAAAAACTCCATTTTTTGAAGAGTTAACTGCCAGGCTTAAAATAACTAGCTTCAGTTAAAATCAGATTTCCTTAGGCCCTAAGAATTAGGCCAGTTAACTCAATCAAACTCAACATAAATATTTTTTATTCGGGACAATATTAAATGTTCAAAAACAATGTAACCTTTGTAGATTTTTATGCAAGTAGAATATTTCTACAAAAATCTCATGATTATATATCACATCATACAATAAATATTCCTTTCAATTCCTTAAGGCAATGAAAATGTTTCCCTTTATAAATGACATACACACACACCCCCCTAATGAATCTCCAACAGTTTAAATCAATTTATTTTCTAAACAAGACAGAAATGCTAAGAACCTTATCTCCTTACGAGTTATCACCTTAAGCAAAAGGCAAAAACAACAAAATCTGCCAAATAATCTATCTCCAAAAATAAACAATGGGCCATTTAATTTAGTATTTAACTTGGCTCCTACAAATCTTGTAAAATCTAACATTGCCCTTGTGGGTCAAAGGAAAGACACAAGGGGACCCAGGTAGGCAAAAACAGCAAATAAGCAACTACATAAGGTAGGTATATTAATTAACGAAGGTGTATTTCCCAAAATTAAAATTTTCTTCTTCGACCAAATTCATTTAATCACAATAAATCCCAATGAATAGTAAAATAACAATACAGCTCTTCTGATCTCAAGTTCATGTTGTGCAAGGGAGGCAGGGGCAGACAGCAGGATGAGTGTTTCCTCCCAGATAGGAACCCATTTCCTTGTTCGGGTTACACCACCCTCTGACCTCTTCTGACAAGTCAAAGGTCTGAGTCAGATGTGTGCCTTCAAGTATTGGCATTATTAACTCATTCTGTACTGCCCTGACTGGTATGTGAAATGGTCAAGGGAAGTAAAAGAGGCCCCAAAAGTCGGTGAAGAACTATAAAATTGGTCAAGACAGACATCTACATCTCTAGATTTCTAGATTAAGTTTACATATATATATATACCTTAGGAAAGACAGAAAGGTCAGACTTAACGTACTGAATCAAATCTGTGAGCTGTGAAGCACCTGACCAGAACTCTGCTAGGAGTCATTTGGGGATACATTATTTACCCACAACATCTTGCAATAAACCCACCGGGCTTTTTTACTCATATGATATCAACACTACCCAGGAAGTACCAGGCACAGAGGCACATACATACATTAAAAAAATATTCTGAATGAAACTTAATCTTTCATCCATAAATTTATCTAAATTGTTCTTGAATCTACTTATAATTTCAGCCTGTAATACTCAGGTAGCAAGATATGTTTATACATGCCCTATCAAAAAGTGCTTCTATTTTAGGCCTCTTACATGTGATAGATGATTTCATAATAAAATCATGTTCATCTTACCTGTACCTTTCATGACAGTAACAGGTTCTGGTAATATACTAATAACAGCTACCATTTACTAAGCACATATTATGGACTATTATATAGAGTATTTTTATAGAGAGTATCTCTTAATCCTCATAATAAATCTGTAACTAGCTATCAGCATCTCCATTTTACAGAGGAAGAAACTCAGTTTGCATAAATTTACCCAACATAAAACAGCTAATAAGTACAGAGACAGGATTCACACCAGATCTGTCTGGTTCCAAAACCCATACACAAGCCACTCATGCTATCCTGCCTCCCCGTACTCACCCTTTCTGGACTGGAGTCTAACCTATTACTGAATCTCTTCAGCTACTTAAGAACGAACAAAGTCCTGAGTTTCTACCATGTGAGAGAAGTTAGTGTGAGAGATACAAAGAAACAGACTATAGTCCTGGAACCCCAGAAGATTAATTTAAGTAGGTAGCTACATGGAAACTGATGGGATCACTGTCAGCTAAAGTACAAAGGAAAGTACGAAGATGAGATCTGAACTGGTCCTTGAAGAATGTGGTCCCTTAAAATCATCTTTCTTAGTGTTTCTTCAGGGTAACACAAGGGGGCGTAATGATATTATGTCAGTTTGGAACAGACAAATAATATCCACTTTGTTTCCAATACTTTTACTAATGGGTCCAGTATTTTTCCAACTTTTGGGATAATGGTCTTTGACTAGGGTATGTTTAAAGAGCCAATGCAATCATTTTTCAGTGGTACCTGATAGTGCATACACCATGTTTTAAGTCCAAAGAAGGAGGGGGCATATGATAATGGATACTGGGACATGGAGAGGCACTCCTGGGTCTCTGCCATGTAGAACTTCTACATCACAAGTAAAAAGAGTTTAAAAAAAAAAAGAGAGAGAATCAGGGTGAGAGAAAAGGGCACGTAACATTTCCCCTCACCTAAAGAGAGGGAAGTGCAACTGGAGGGAAATGACAGGCTGGGTGAGCCCAACATTAAGGTCTCACCCCAACCTCACATTCTGCCTACTCTCAGTTGTGTGAACTCCTCCTGCAACTGACTCTTCATAGATTTTGAGAGCACTTAACTATTAACTAATTGCAAACTTGTCAAATTTAACTTTCTGGGTCATTTATAATATTTTAAAAGCTTGTAACTAATTTTGATTCCACAAAGAGCTCATTTATTATATTGCTCCCTCCAGAAATATCAGTTCATTCCTACACTTTATTTTCTAGTATCAAGCTGGTTTCTTAAACCCGTAATTATAAAACATATATCCACTTAACCCTTTGGTTTCTCAAGTTTTAAACAGTCTTGCATAAAATCTTTCAGAAGTTTTTTGTTTTGTTTTGTTTTTTAGGTCAAAATAATTAATTAGTTGGTTCCAAATTGTCTATAAATCTTTCTTCCTCAAAATTAGGTATATTTTCCACATGCTGATATCCCTTACCCTTCTTCCCACCCTCCCCCCGCACCCCCACGAAGATTATTGATCATGTTCTTTAAAAAGAGTTAAACTGAGCCAAGAATAAAAAGAATAAAAACTCCACATAACACCTCTTGTGATTCAAATGATAATGAGGTGAGTTAGGTCAAAAAAAAGGAAAAAAAAAAAAAAAAAAAGCCAGAAGAAAAACAGAAGTAGATGGAATCAAAAGGCCACCCGTTAAATTTTATGAGTCCACAGAGAAGGCAAAATGCAATCATCTGTTTTGTACAGATTGATATTAAGTCCAGTAACTGGTTCTAAAAGTTCCTGGCGTTGCCAAGTTGTCTGGAAAAAGGTAACCAGAGCCATCTAACTAGTATAAAAATATTCCACTAAAACACTGCCTACAAATGTGCAAAACTCTAGGGTATGATGGCAATTTTGGCAGAAAATTATGTGGAAGACTCCTTAATAATAATAGCTAATACTACTAATAGTACATGCCTGGTATTATTCCAGGCACTACAAAACATCAACTCATTTTATTTCCCAGAGTTGTGAGTATTAAGTAAAATATTGTTTATCCTCATTTTGCAGATTAGTAAACTAAGACAAGATTATATAGCATAGTAAGTGGCAGAGGAGTAAATCAAATGCAATGCAAAATATTAACTATGATGGCTTCTCGATGGTGGGATTGCAGGTGAAACCCATGCCTTCATTGTGGAGAAGTGTGTATTTACTATGCTCAAAATTTGAGGTTTGATTTTTTTCAATAGGAAAAATTATATTTATAATTATATTTCACCTTAGAACGTCCCTTTAAAGTCATAGGAAAAGAAGATACATGATATGTCTTTTCCTGGAATGAAGAACTGAACCATATATCTTTCCTCCTCCATATACAAAGAATCAACAAAAGATAATACAGTACATAAAAACCTGATCTAAGACTTGGCATGAGGTTTCTATAAACTCATTATTCCATCATGCAACCAGGACACCTATTTCACAGTACATTTACAACACATGCCATATATTTGGACTCTGAACTCTGCAGCAGCTGATTAAACGAGAAGCTTACTCCTCAGCTGTGCTGGCATAGCTTCATTAAGTTTAGCAAGCATCTAGGTCCCAGAATGCCATAAATAACTTTCCCCTATGAGCTGCAGTAACAGTACTAAAATTTCCCCAGGTGTAAGGATGTCCTACTACCTAAAAATCTGTTCTGCAAAATGACTTCTGGGCTACGATTGTTACTATTACGAATGTAATATTAAGGTGAGAATGCAAGATTTTTAACTCTCACAATACACTGTGGATAAAACTGAGTGAATCAATTTAGCTTCAGAGTAAACTTTACCCCTACTGTGGTGCTATTTTCTGTAAAATTAATTTGACATCCATTTTATCTTTAAATCTGCAAAGCAGAGAAAAACAGAGCTAAACTAAACTCTAATTTCCCCATGACTATTTATAGAAAAATCCATGTTTGAACTATAGTTAAATATTGTTTAACTGATTAGGTATCTTATTTAAGATGGTACATTAATACACTAGAATTTCAGAGAACAATGCTAGTATTTAAAAAAAAAAAAAAGCTTGATACCATGACGTTAGATCAGTAAATTCAATGTGAGAATTAGATCCTGACAATTTAACATAGTATCTCTCAGTCAGCCTCATCCAGACATTTCATTTTCAAATTTCACTTCTAACAATTAGTTCTTGAAGCAACTATAAATCATTTGGCAACATGTTCTAATTCTGGGCCCATTAACCCATGTATGTTTTCAGATCTCAGATTTCTGGAACAGATTTACTAGTCCCTTCATAGCCATTTCTTTTTCTTTCAAATTAATTTTTTGTACACATGAATCAATGATAAGAGGTATACCAGTATTAATACCAACAATTCATTTTACCAGAATCCCACATCTTTTATAACAGTTTTCCAAAGTCAAGATTCAAATAAAATCATTTTACCATATGTAGGAAAAGGTCACTCAAATTGTTAGGATAAAAGCTTTTCTCATTTCTCCCTTATTAACCAGAGGATCAAATTGAAGTTCTGCAATGTAAATTGCCCTCCCTTCAAATAAAGACTCAAAATACCAGATAAATATAGAAAATGCCCCCAAACAACTTGATCCAATAGCCTACAGAGTTAGCTATATAGACATGAAAAGAGGGAGCCCCTCTGGGTGGAACTGTCATGATGGTTCTTGAAGAACATGAGAAGTTCAAACACTAAATGTCAAGATAGGTTACTCACCTACCCTTCAGTGACCCTCTCCTTACCTCATACCTGGTACAAGAATAATTAAATAGTTAATAATGTATTTGCTTAAACATCTGTGTTCCCTCCAACTCTTGGGAAGAAGTATGCCGACTTTTTCTTCTCCATATCTCCAGACCCTTGCTGAGTACTTGACAAATTAACAGTTGGCATTATATTCACTGAACAGCACTGAAGCACTTGCTTCCAACAATAACTGTAGTCTTGCAATGACTGGGTAAAGTGTTAGAACAAAATGGCAGAATTACTGGAGCGTTGGCTACAGCTGCCAGAGATGGATATAACCAGCCCTAAAAGAGTGCCTCCAATGCTACCACGGTAGCAGGATAATAGGGACAGGTTTTCAAAAGATGCCTCCTCCTTGCTTCCTCTTTAGTAAACTTCTCAATTTCCTAACCACCCAGCTAGGTGTGGTCATAAATCTAAACTCTTGCCAATGAGATGTAAATGGAAGTCTTATGTAGGACTTTCAAAAAGGTTACTTTAAGGAAGCTGAATCAGCTGGAAATAACTCCCCACCCCCTGCTCCACTTTTTACCCCTTCTAGACAACAACTTAAGACAAAATAGCAGCGGCCATCCTACATACTGAAGTGACCTTGATAATGGAAGGCAAGCACTAGGATGATGAAACACAAGATAGGAACCTGAGTTTCTGATGATACTGACTCATAATACTACTACTCCTGGACCACTTACCTCCAGAATTTTTTATGTAAAGAAATAAACTTTAAAGCAAAATAATTTCACATATCAGGATATCAGTTCACCATTAAAAGGAGGGGAGTAATTATCTCTAAGGAACTTCCAGTTCTAAAATTCTCTACATACCTTAGCATATAAACTTAAAAGAAAAACCTAAAATGTATTGGTATTATTAAGTCCTGGAAAATTCCTCAAATAAAAAAGCAACTATATATTCTCTAGATACAAAGAATGGTATCTTCCATTTATCAGTAAAATTATGTTTGTTGCTACTGACTATAACTCATTAGGATATTTTTGTGCCTGCTCTTCTGGCTGCCTAAAATGTGCTAATCCCCAACTCTTCAACACTCTAACCCTTATTTATCTCTTTCAGATGTTAGCATATATGTCTCTTTTACCAGTGAGGCCTGTCCTGGCCCCTAAAATAGGTCCTACCTGCTATTTTATTTAACACACTTAAAAAAAAAAAAAACTTCCTAGCACTTACCACAATTTTTCATTTATATAATTACTTGTATTCTTTTGTTCAATGTCTCTCTCTCCCACTATAGTGAAACCTCCAGAGGAGGAACAAAAAATCAGGGTTCTTCCCTCGATGTTTCATGACCATGCCTGGCACAATGCCTAACACACAGATGGAGTCCATTTATGTAAGTACTTATTATATGAAGGAACAAACGAATGAATAAATGAAGCAAGCATTAAGGAACTGCAGAGATCATATGAAGCAATGTTTACTCACTTACCTCATTAAACACAGGATACATGACTGCATAGAGGGGCATAGAAACCATGGAAGTGGTCTCAGCTTCATTCTTCATCTCTTCCATTGTCATCCTCATTCAAAAGCCAACTACAGTAGAAAAAGCAGTGCTAAAATGCAGAGGAATCTTCATTCACTGCAGCCTTTCTTCTCTTTTTTGTGATAAAAGAACAGGGCACAAAACATATGCTGACCTGGTTAAAGGGGACAAAAGAACAGAGATTTACTATGCTAGAATTAATAATAAAAACTTAAGGTGTTTAACATTTTCATTAAAATTCTTTTACTAATTGTTCATTGATTTTTGTCACCTAAAAAATAACCAAAACATAGCAAGCATCAAAGATTTAAGGCAAAATTTTAAATTCTACCAAATGTAATCTATTTGGGGAAAAAATTGACCTAATTTATTAATTAAATAATTCACTTAATATTATTTAATTTTGCCAGTGGCATTTTTTGAATCTTTGTCCAAATCTGACACAGAGACTAAGAAGAAAAACCCACAGACACTGGTAGTTTGGAAGTAAAATATCGAGAATTCAACAGTATAAGAGAGAAATTTTGCTTTGAGGAGTTGAAGAAATGTGTCGCTTTCTAAGAGAAAGCAACTGTATTTAATTCCTTCGCTAGGCTGAAATATGAGCCTAATTATAAAGTGAAAGAGTAACAGTAGTAACATACCTGTATATTAAATGATATACATGTTAAACAAAAAGCCATTAATTTTGAATAATTTCTACCATTTATAGAGCATTTTCAGATTATAAAACATATTTCACATGCATTTAGTCCTAATAACTTACCTTAGAGTAACTGTCATTCTAATTTTACAGATGAAAATGTAGACTCAGAAATGATAAATAACTTGCCAAAGATCACACATGCAGAGGCCTGTGACTTGATCCCTGTGCTGTGAATCCAGATCTGACACTCCCAAATCAGAAAATAAAGTATGAAGTGAAAACCCAGAACCTCATCTACCCAGCAAAATGCCCAGAAGTTACTCATTCACTGAATAAATAGATGTTTAGCACTTACTACATGCAAGACACAATGGGGGATGAAAAAGGTGTGGTCTTAATCATTAAAACATTATCTGAGCCAGACTGTGGAAGACCTAAGCAGTTTGAAAGCTACAAAGGCCAGTACTCATAGCTTTAAAAACTTCCAATAACCTGTCCCGTTTGAGAACTGCTTACTATTCTTCCATATATCCCTACCAGTGAAGGGGAACTCAACACTTATTTAGCCTTATTTCTGGTAGTTCTAAACATGGAAAGTCTTTCCTGTTTCTGAGCTTAAATCTGCTCCCTGACTTCACAGAACCAAATAATTAAATAATAAATAAAAGGAAGAAAAGGCCAATTCCTAAATTTTATTCTATAGGACAAGAGAAGATCATTACTTAATGAGACAACTGGACTTAAGTAGACTGCTTTGGTCATAGCATTAAGGAAAGAATGGAGGAACAGAAGTTGAAGGCAACGAAAACTTAAGAAATCTAGTGTATCTAGATCAACAGGACCTGAATAATAAGCAAGAGCAAGCAGATAAATATCAATTCTGGCCCTGCTGTTCCTATTTGATTACTTAATAAGCCATTTGGTAATCTGCTTTTCCACTTAAAAATTAACTGTGAAAACCTTTTCATAATAAACTTGGAATAAAGAAGAGGGGCTGAAGTGCTGTCAAAATGAAAATGATGGATACTGGATGTACAGTATAAGTAGTAAATAAAAAGCATCAGTATCTATGAAAAAAGAAAGTGAAAAATAGCAGTACAGGGCCAACAACAGAACTTGAAGAGCTATTTCATTTTTTTTTTTTACCACATCAGTACAATACCACAGTATTGTACCACATCAGAAAATTTTCACTTAAAATATTTATGATTTAAGTCAACTGTCTCTCCCTCTGTATATATACATTTATTTTTATACATATAAATATATATATATTTATTTCTTGCTTCTTAAACTAACTTTACAGGACTATCAGCTATTATTTGTCATCAAAAAGATAATATTATAGCAACATTATGGGCTACGTAGGTGGCTGGCCCACTCCACACTTAACCACCTTTTTAAATATTGTTCCTATGGGAAAATGTTCCAAAGAACCAATTTACATCTGACCTTTTCAGAACACACGTTCACAAGCTGGGGACAAACAGAGTTTCATTAGTGTTTACATGAGATTAAAAATCAACAATTCCAATAAGGCTTTTTAAATATTAAATTGTTCTGCCAATTTTAATTCAACTTCAAGTTAAAATATGTTGTCATTCCTTCTACATGCTTCTTCATTTGAAATGGTTTAATGGACAACCTGCCAATTACTCCAAGCCACTCCAATGCCAAACTCAGTCTTAGGATCCTGTTTCTGCCCTGCACTACCCAACCAACCCACAGGAGTCTGTTCATTTAAAGAACTATACTTGGGTGTATCTTAAGGCTCAGAATCAGCATTTCCTGAAACAGCCTCACTTTACTCCATCTGGGCACAACAGAGCCAAAGCTACTTACTCACAAATAAAATAAGTGAACAAAGGGAAGTTCTTGGTATTGGTGTATGCAGTTCTTGGGGAGAAACAGAAGCTTCCTAAATAAAGTAAACTCTACACTTAAAAAATATTTGTAGGCAGGTCTATTTGTCTTGTTTTTCTCTATAGTGAAATCTAGTACTTAGCCCCCTTACATGGTCTTAAATTCTTATAATCCCTTTAATTTCCCTCCCTAAAGAGGGGAAGTTTTATTTATTTTTGTTGGCTCTCCAAACTGTCCATAATATTTAGCTAAAAGAAGTTTGTTTATTCTAGCAGTAAACAGAACCCATGAGTTCATGTTACAGTTTACAAGTGTAGTTCTTTTTTCCAATAGCCATTACAGTCAGCATAGCAGGTACATAGTAGACACTTTATAAACGTTTGTTGAACGAGTAAATCAGTGAGATAAGAGATGGGCAATTTATAAGTTGAATCAGTCTTGCTAATACTTTTCAAATATCAAGCCTAGCAAAACAAAAACAGACCCAGAAATCTAAATAATTTTATTAACCAAGTCTGGACCCAGTTACATTTACCAGTTTTTACTTCTTTTGGCTACCCCAAGCTCTTCCTACTATAGTAAGCTAAGAGAATATAAGCATCAGATAACTGCAAATAAAACCAGAATTCCAACAGAAATTTACATGAAAACCAAATAAAACCAAAGAAAATAAAACAGAGATTATAAATTCTAACGTCTCAATTTTATTAAGGCTACCAGGACGTGATCCTAGGGACATAACTGGTGTATAATTTAATAGTTCACGAAATTCTCAAAGTGCAAGCATCTCCAACATTGGTTAACCTTGCTTTACACATAAGAAAGATCCTAAAAATCACCCAGCTTTTAGCAGAAAGCAAAACTTTTTCTATGAGAAAGAGTGGAAGAGTGGTGCAGTTTCCAAATGTTGGATGACCTAAGGCATCACAATCACTTCAGGGCCTATTAAAAACACAAATCCCCAAGACTACTCAACCAGAATCTCCAAGAAAGGGTCAAGGAAGCTGTATTTTAACAGCCAGCCTAGATGATTCTTGTGAACAGAACCGGCTGGAAATCACTGGTATGGAAAGAACAGTGGCTAGAGTCAGAAAAAAGAGTTGCAAAGGCCAGTCTTGAGACATAGGTAAAATTAAGTTTGACTCAGTACCTGAGACAGGGGTTTTTGGTCCTGACTTTGCACAAGTTTCACTTAATCACTGACCTTGTTTCCTCATCAGAAACAGAAAGGGGGTAAAAATTATATCATCTTAAAGGCCATGGTACTCTAAAATTCAGTGATAATAAAAATTTATTACTGGTATCTCCTAAAGGTTCCAAAGTAATCTCGTGGGAAATTTTTAAAAAAGAAAAAGATCTCATCAGATCTTAAAAAAATTCACGAATTCCAATAAGGAGATCTTCTTCAATAGTTGGTTGATTCAGGGTTTCAAATAACTGACAGCCCCTTGCTTTCTCTTAAGCATCTGGCATCACGAATCACACCCAGAAACTGAATTTATTCCAAAGTGGGTATAGATCAGTCTGGCCAATTCACATAGCTGGAAAGGTGGGCATCTGACATCACAACCTACCTTTTAGGGCCTTCTCATGCCAAAATATTGTAGCCACTTCCAAACAAGAGACAAAAGGTTTAGAGGAGGAAGCTAGGAAAAAGGCAGGCAGAGGAACAGGGTAAGTAAGAGATCCTACTTAGACCAAAATGAGCTTGAACCTTCAGGATACACCTACATCTCTCTCCTTCCTCTGCAAATTATATTTTCTATAATTCAAGGTCCTCCATTCTACAGTTTTCTTCTTGAATAAGGTAACGTGGAACTCAACCTCCCTGAACATGCACTGCTGTCAGCTTAGTATTGATAGAATTTTGCATTTAGGGACCTCTAGGAACAATCTCTTCTTAATGGTAGGTGTAATATATTACATTTTGCCACTCTATCTGTTTACATGTATCATTTTTTTCTAGGCTTCTACAAAATAATAAATGCACAATTTGTGCAGAGAGATGTGAAAGGAGTGTAAGAATGATCTGAAAACATGGGCTCAAATCCTGTCATTATAAACCATCTTGTCTCTGAGCAAGTCACTTGACCTATCTACGCTGTAGTTTTTTAAGATGGACCAAAACTGAGCTGTATACTTGAAAGTGATATAATCAGACTGAAAGATGAAGTAATTTCTAAATCAAACCATAAAGCCTCTATATTAAATCACTTTAATTTACTAAGTTACTAAGCACTGTATTTTTGCACTTTTAAGTAACTATTTAAAGAAAGTATACATTCTGCAAAGAATTATCACTTCACTGGAAGATCTGATCTCAGTCAGATTTGTGAAGGCACCTCCTCTGTTATACCACAATTTCCAGGAATCGGATACCACCAACTGTTTTTTTTTTTAAAAAAAAAAAAAACAAGATAAAAAAGATATAATCTCTAATATCTCTGTACACACGACTGACCAAACAAGCATTTACTGAGTTATTAAGAAATAATAGAGGTTCTAACTAAAACAAGATCTGAAAATTAAGATGTTTTTGAAAATAGGTAACACTGGCAAATTAGCACACAATGACCCACGAAGGAAAAATGCCTAAATGTAAAATTTAGCAATTCAACTCCATTTACTTTATCATTCTTTGTTAA